AGAGAGAGAGAGAGAGAGAGAGAGGGAGACAGAATCCCAAGCAGGCTCCTCACTGTCAGTGCAGAGCCCGATGCGGGGCTCAAACTCACAAATCGGGAGATCATGATCTGAGCCGAGATTAAGAGTCTGTTGCTTAACGAACTGAGCCACCCAGGCGCCCCTAGGGAGGGCTTTGATTTGGGGGGAGTGTTCAAATTTTATTCAGAGGCCAGTCTTGCAGATACAGTGTTTCGTAAGAACTCTGTCTTTAACTTAAGTCACTGATTTCCGTGGAGCTGGACCTTTGAGCCCTGCCTTCTGAGTCTCCCCCCACCCCCCCACCTCCCTGGGTGATGTCCATACCTGCGAAATGAGACAAGGCCGCTTCCCTCACAGAGGCATTGTGCTGGACGTAAATGGTAGGTCGCTCTGTGTCCTCCTTCCCCTTTCCAGAGGGGGGCTCCAAGAAGGTTCAGCGATAGGGCAGCCTCCCGGGAACCCCTATGTTAGTCTCCTAAGGGATTGCTTTACAGGGTAACACAGTAGGACCTGCTGGTTTTAAAATTAACTTTTATCACATGTAGATTTTGTGTGCTTAGCATTTATTAGGCACCTCTGGGCACGGAGCACTGTAGGAGCTGTGAAGCAGCTTGCATGGGTGGGGTGGCACTGGCTTGTGTGGATGAGGTGACCTTCAGGTCAGACTGTGCCCTACTGACCTGGGAGCTGGGGCTGGAGGGGAGAGGCTGGAGGTGGGAAGTCAGGCAGGAGGGTAGCCATGGGGCCTGGCTGGGCAGTACAGGGAACAGCGATGGGCCCTGGTCCCTGACAGTGGGGAAGCAAGGAGGGCAGGATGGGAGCCCCATTGTCACAATCAGGGACACCACCTCCCTCACACACACAGGGGAGGGACCTCGGTGTCTTCTCTCACCCCTTTGGCTGACTGGCTCAGGCTGCTCTCTCTTGCCCAGGTGCCGGCAGCAGCTCTGGGCAAAGGAAAGAGCCCCAGCCCTGTGCTTTAGTCCCGGCTCTGATGCCGACCTGCTGTGTGACCTTGGCTGAGTCACTGTCCACTCTGAGTGTCTGTTTTCACCTCTGTGACATGAAGGACCAGGAGACAAACCCCAGCTGCTCTTCTAGCTTAGCCCTTTAGCCTAACAGATGTGGCTCTGTTCTCCTGGACTGATGCTTTCTTCTATACTGGGCTGGCATTTTGTGGGCCACAGGGGAGGAGAGGGTGCCCACAGCCCCATCTGCTGGGCTGGAATGAGGAGTCAGGCTCTGACCTGGCATTGGCCAAGGTCATGTGTGTTTTGGGGGCTGGGATGGGAGAAGGGCAGAAGCTGTCCAACTGGGGGGACCTGAGGTGGACTTTTCCTGCTGCCTGGGGCCTGCATTTACAAGTTTAGCGTGTCGGGGGCACGGTCATTCCCAGAGAACTGGTTTCTCAGGAAGAGGCCAGCTGGCTGGCCTTCTCAGCATCTGCACCCGGAAAGCCTGGGGCAAACACAAGGCCTTCCTCCCTCTCCCTTCCAGCAGAAATGGAAGACCAGCATGTGTTGGTCTGGGGAGAAAAAGCTGCTGTTTCCTTACCCCAATCCACAAGGTGACATCTGAGGTCTGAGGTAGAGGCGCCCACTCCTGGCATGATCTGTGGCCTTTGGCTCTGGCTCCTGGGGCCTCCATGAGGCTGAGACCCCTGGGCTCACCCAGACTCTGTGTCTCTCTCCTTTTCCTGCTAGGTCGACACTACCCCTAAAGCAAGAAGAATATGAGGTGAGCATCGGCGGCGGGGCCGGGGGAAGGCAAAGGGCAGGGGTGCCCAGGAGAAGGGGGTGTAGAGGCCGGGTGCCAGGGCTGGGGCTGCATGCAGACCCCTGAGCCCCCTCTGCACCCTACTCCCTGGCAGGCCTTTCTGCTCAAGCTGGTGCAGAACCTGTTTGCTGAGGGCAATGACCTGTTCCGGGAGAAGGACTACAAGCAGGCCTTGGTACAGTACATGGAGGGGCTGAACGTGGCCGACTATGCTGCCTCCGACCAGGTGGCCCTACCCCAGGAGCTGCTGTGCAAGCTGCATGTCAACAGGGCCGCCTGCTACTTTACCATGGTGAGCCCGCACCCCCTCCCCTCTTCACCCTGCCCGCCGTTTCCCGCAGATGCCCAGCCAAGCTGGGCCTGCACCCTAGTGAGCCTCTGTAGGCCCGGCTCCTCCACCCCCTCCTGTGGGAGTGTCACCGCCTGCTTCCGTGGCTCTCAACCCCAGCTGCACCACAGACTCACCTGGAGAGCCCTTAAAGTGCTAATACATGGTACAAAAAGTGGTTTGTAAGGATACGGATGCCTGAGCCCCACCCCCGATGAATTAAGTTAGATGTTAGACTGTTAGACGCTCATCAGGCTGGCCTGGGCATGGATAGGAGTCTGTAGGGAGTCAGGGTTGAAAACCGCTACCCTCATCGTGCACTGCCTCTTTCTGCAAACCCCTGGCCACTCCTGCTCCTTCCTCCTGGGCTCCCTCCCATCTCCCCCCATCCTCCCGAAAGCTCTGGCCTCCTCCTCTCCTTGTCCTGCTTGCTCACTGACTCAGTCACTCACCAGATCCTTAGGGATGCTCTGCCGTGAGCTCTTTAAAGGACCCCCTAACACCTCTGCAATCCAGAGTGGACTGTTCTGGATAAGCAGGTCTACCAGGTACCTGTTCACACTGTGTTCTGTACCCTGAGCTGCCTTCTTGATTTCACTTCCTCTCAGAGGTACCTTGATTACTCTTGGGCCATGAAGTTCTCAGCTGAAGGCAGATATGGAAGTAGGTGTGTCTGAATGGCCAGGATCATTGCTGCAGAATTTGAAGGCCATCCCCCCACCTCCAGTGGCCTGCCAGTGCCCGTTGCAGCCCCCTGAGCTGGACATACAGTTGCCCTTGACCAGAGTATGAATGTCAGAGGTGTTTCCTGGAGCTCTGGAGCCCCCTCCCCGATCCTCCAGCCTCCCCCGTCTCTGCAGGGAAAGGGGTGGGAGGGAGGTAACCAGAGCTGACCGTGTGGCCTCCCACTCCTCTCCGCAGGGCCTGTATGAGAAGGCACTGGAGGACAGTGAGAAAGCGCTGGGCCTGGACGGCGAGAACATCCGGGCGCTGTTCCGCAAGGCACGTGCCCTCAGCGAGCTGGGGCGTCACAAGGAGGCATATGAATGCAGCAGCCGGTGCTCCCTCGCGCGGCCCCACGTGAGTGCCCTGAGTCCTGGTGCAGGGCTGGACTCTGCTGAGCCTGTGTCCCCCTCCCCGTGCTGTGGACCGACAGATACTGATATTTACACTGAGCTCTGGTTGTGTTTCAGACACTGCTGAAAATACGCAGTGTGTATTAACTCACTTAATCCTTGCATCAGCCCTTTGAGTTAGACGGAGGAACTTACCCGGGAATCACAGCTGTGGGCTGCAGAGCTCACACTTGAACCCAGGCAGTCTGATTCTAGAGTTGGCATTCCTTTTTTTTTTTTTTTTAATTTTTTTTAATGTTTATTTTTGAGAGAGAGACAGAGCATAAGCAGGGAAGGGGCAGAGAGAGAGGGAGACACAGAATCCGAAGCAGGTTCCAGGCTCTGAGCTGTCAGCACAGAGCCCAACGTGGGCTGAAACCCACGAACCGCAAGATCATGACCTGAGCCGAAGTCAGACGCTTAACTGACTGAGCCACCCAGGAGCCCCTAGAGTTGGCACTCTTAACCTCTAGGGTTGCAATAAGGACTCAAAGGGGTGTCACATGTGTGGGGGTCCTGATGTCCAAGCTGTCACTAGGTGGGAGAGAGGCAGGGAATTGACCAGTAGTGAGCCTTGCTTGCCCTGGCCCACACACAGCTGGGCGCATGCCCCCTCCTCCTTTATTCACCCACTTCTTAAGTACTTAAGTATTTACTAAGCACCCACGAACTATCCAGATCTGTGCCCTTCAGGGACCCACAGTCTGCTGGGAGATGTGGAAACATCCCTGGGGTTTAGGTCTGACTCCACCACTGACCCCCAGCATGACCTTGGACAAAACACTTCCCCCGTCTGCACATCAGCTCCTTGTCTATGAAGCACCCCTCCTATTTTATCCCTGAAACAATGAGTGTAAAAGGGCTCAGAAAAGGCTCAATTCTGCCCAGGAGTGATCAGGATCTTGGAGGGCTCCCTGGAGGAAGGTGGGCTTGAGTGGGACCAGAAGAAGCAGGAAGGACCTGGTGGTCAGAACAGAGAGTGGGAGGCCATGTGCATAGTGGTCAAGGATGTTGGTGTCAGAGAGCTGGCCTGGGTTTGAATTCTAATCTTGGGTTAGCCACCTACTAGCTGTGTGACTTTGGACACCAAGCTTAGTCTCTCTGAGCCTCGGTTTGCGCCCCTGTCAAACGGGGGTGGTAATATACCAGGCATCATAGAGCTATGAGGATGGAATCTGAAGATCACACAGTAGGTTCAGAAAACATGCACTGTTACAGTCCTTTTGTTTATTATTCATGCGTCTCCGATTCAGCTTAGTTCACAATTGAGAACCTTTCTTATGACAATAGTCCATGGTCCTACAGCGTTTCCTAGTGTCCCCAGCAGGTCCACATCCAAGTCTCATGTCTGCCATTCCTTGGCAGGCAGGGTGGTGCTTACCTCACTGTACAGGTGAGGACTCCGGGGCCCAGTTAGGGCCTCTGACTCTGAGTTGGGGGATCCCCCCGTGCTCCAGTCTTTGTTGGCAAATACTGGCTGAGCCCTGCTCCGTGCTGGGTACTGGGGACCAGAGATGACTCAGACTCTGGCCCTGGGTTCCAGGAGCTCGTCAGGTAGGGAGGTGGACAAATGCTCGGGGTATTATAGCATCCCTGTTGCCTCTTTGCTGCCTGGACCACAGTCACCGTTTCTTTTTTACTGGTTAGTCTCTCCCACTAGACTGGAGCCTCCTCGAGGCCTGGGCCCCATGTGCCCTCTGCTAGTGGCGTCTCTGGTCCTAGCCCTTGCCTGGCACTTAATGCATATACAGTAACAGCCTTGGAGGGAGGAAGGGATGCTGGGTGCTGTTATTGAGCGCTAACTGTGGGCCGGCTGGCTATGTTCCAAACTTCCCGCATTCTCGCTCCCGTGGGCCCGGGCACGACCCACATGTCCTTCCTTGCAAAGAGTTCCGGGACATCGTGTGGTGAAAGCAGCAAGTTGTAAGTCGTAGAGCAATAGGTGTAATGTGATCTCACTTATGTTAAAAAAAAGAAAAAAATCCTCACGAAACAAAACTGAGCATCCTTTATAGATCTGTAGGCACGTTATGCACATTCCTGGAAAAGAGCTGCAGGGAAGCACATCAGACCACAAGGCATGCTCCCTCTGGGGAGGAGCCTAGTGTGAGGATGGGGAAGGGGGTGATCCAGGGGAGCTCTTGCTCTCCCTGCAACATTTCAACCGTCTACAGTAGAGTGACACTACGCCTTGCTGAATTTTAGAAATAGAAAGATAATTTAATTTTACCTCTTTTTCAAAAAAATTTTTAAAGTTTATTTCTTTTGAGAGAGAGAGGGGGGGAGTGCAAGTGAGGAGGGACAGAGAGAGAGAGAGAGAGAGAGAATCCCAAGCCAGCTCAGCACTGTCAGTGCAGAGCCCGACGCAGGGCTCAAACTCATGACCCCATGAGATTATGATCTGAGTTGAAGTCGGATGCTTAACCGGCTGAGCCACCTAGGTGCCCCTAGAAAGAAAAAGATAATTTTAAAATCCAAAGCAAAAATTATTCCTTTCCCCTCCCCACAGTGAAAGGGAAAAAGGGAAGCGTGGGTTCTGGTTCAGCCCCACCACATGCTAGTTGTGTGACCCGGGCAGCCAGTGACCCCTCTTAGGGCCTCGCCTCCTTGTCAGTAACATGGGGTGGGGCGCTCGGCTGGTTCCATCTGTAGAACTTGGGGTAACAGCAGACCCCCCCACCCCTTCCCTGCAGTGCTGTTCAAGGTCTCTGGAGCATAGCTGCGTGAGCTAGGGCAGACTAACCCCCTCCACCCTGTGTCTTGCTGTTGCAGGATGAGAGTGTAACTCAGCTTGGTCAGGAGCTGGCTCAGAAGCTTGGGCTTCGAGTTCGGAAAGCGTATAAGAGGCCCCAGGTAGGTGGGCTCTGGGTGCTGGGAGTCCACGGGGGTGGAGATGGGGAGGTCTGAAGGGAGCCCAGGCACCTCTGGGGAGAAGTGGGGGAGGGTGGCCAGGGCCAGGCCAGGACAGAGAGGAATGATAACAGGTGATCTTCCCTCTCTGTTGGCCGAAAGCCCTGGACTGACTTCCAGAACCTTTCGGAAAAAGGAGAGAACAGTCAAAGCTTCCAATTCACCTTAGACACCAGCTGCTAACACCTCCTCCTTCCCCTGGCCTGGCCGACTTAAGCACCCCCGAGATGGCCTGAGATGACACCGGTGTCTTTTCCGCCTCATGTTCTCACATAACCTCTGTATGGTGCAGATATCTATTTGGCTCGTTTAGATCCACACTTATTCACTTGGCACCTATTGTATGCCAGGAAGCTGCATGTAGGAGAGGGTACAGCTCTAGAGTCTGCTGTGACCTTGAGCGAGTTAGTTCTTTCCCCCCTGTGGTTTTTACATCTGGAACATGGGGATAATTATGCCCATCTCAGGGGGTTCCTGGGCGGATCATCAAAATCAAAGAATGTTTGATGTGGCACCTGGCACACAGTAGGAGCATGTATGTGGAGGTCCGTCCTCTGCCAGGTCACAGTTACAGGAAGAAAATGTCCAAATCTGCTCCAGAGAGAGAACAGGTAACTTCTGACAGGACTTGGGGCAGGAAGCCTTAGGGCACTATGGACGCCAGCTGCGTGTGTTGGGGCCCCTCAGCTGCCCTAATTGATGGGACCCTGAGCATCTTTCCCGAACCTTCATCTCTTCCCACCTCTCTAATCCCTGCAGGAATTGGAAACATTTTCTCTGCTCAGTAATGGCACTGCAGCTGGCCTGGCGGATCAGGTAGGATGGGGGCTGGGACCCCAGGCCTCCCTCCCTGCCCCCAGTATCAACCTATCTTGGTTCATCCCTCATGAGAGCTTTGGATTCACTCTCTGGGGTATCATGCCCCCAGCAGTGGATCCTGGGCGATTAGACAGAAGGGCTAGGTTCAATCTGTCCCAGCCCCCACTGATGTGAGCCATGCACCTGGCTGATAGCCTGGGCCTGGACCAGACTAATAACACCTCTGGGACGCACAGCACCTCCACCTCTTAAGAGGAGCCTCCTGTGACCACAGGGGCAAAGTGTGGGGACAGGCCGCGGCCACTATGGGCAGGGAAGTCTCACCCCCACCCTTCTTTTGCTGTTTTCCTCCTCACTGGCCATTCTGCATCTAGGCCTCTGGGTCTCAAATGTCTCCCCTCCTCCATACCCTGCTTTCTCTGCCTTTTCATTTTCAAGGCCCGGCTCAAGTATACACCCCCCACTGAGACCCTTCCCGATACCCCTGCCTAAGCAACTGCCAGGGAGATGCACAGAAGTGGGGGTCAGAGCTCACACCTGAGACTCCCACAGCATGCAAGCTGTGGTCTTGAGCAGAACCTTCACTTCTGAGCCTCAGTTTTTAAAGCTGTGAAACGGGGGTGTTGTCCCTCGCCCAGAACAGGGGAGTATACCCGGAGGAGTGTGGCACCGAGGGAGCTGAGGAGCAATAATTGCTGAGACTACAGCATTACCCTGGGTTTGGGACGTCCCCATTCCTTGGGGCCAAGACCGTTGTGCCACCACCAACAGACCTGGCTCACCCTCGGGTCGGTGCCAGGGCCCAGCACACACACTGGACTCTCCCACTGCTCACCACACATACTCAGGTAGACTTCGACGCCTTTTGGAAGACCAGGGACGGGCTCTAAGAGCTCTGGTGGAGGCTGGTGTCCTGCCTTCTTGTACGTAAGGGGAGACTGAGGCACAGAGTGAGGATGGGACTTGGCCAACATCCCACAGCAAAGCAGCAGCAGGCCCGCCTGCCTTCTTAGCGTTAAGGGTTTTCATTTACTCACTCAGCAAACTCCCAGGGGACCCCTTCTTGGCCCTGGGCTGGGAGCTGGAACATAGCTGAGTTAGGCACATCCTTGCCCTTGGGACTCCTGGGTGCTGAGGGAGACCAGTGTGGATCTGCCCGTACAGCCCTCCTTGTGGATCATAACCAGATATTGGGCTTGGCACATGCTGGATGCTCAAAAAAAAGCTATAGCATTTTGCTCTAACAAATTGCCATGAACTACGTGGCTTATAAACAACAGTAATTCATTTCTCACAGTTTTGGAGACTGGGGAGTCCAAGATCAAGGTGCTGGCAAATTCAGTTTCTGGTGAGGACCCACTTCCTGGTTCACAGATGGCACCTTCTAGCTGGAACCTCACATGGCAGAAGGGGCAAGGGAGATTTCTGGTGTCTCTTTTATAAGGGCACTAATGCCATTCATGAGGGCTTCACCCTCAAGCTAATCACTTCCCAAAGGCCACATTTCCTAATACTATCACTTTGGGGCGTAGGATTTCAGCATATGAACTTGACATTCGTTGAACATATCACAAACATTCAGACTATAGCACTGACTGACTGACTGAACAACTGCAAATAATTTCACACTGCTTGAGGGAGGTACTGCCTACCCCTATTACCAAGGAGAAACCAAGAAGTTGGGTGACTTGTCTGAGTCCACTGAGCCTGGACTAGGTACATGGAAAAGAAAACAATCGTGGTTCCTGCTCTCAAAGAGCTCACAGTCCAGGTCGAATGGACACTAGCCTGATTATTTGTGGTTACAAACCATCATGAAAGCTGTAAAGACAACGTGTGGGGAGCCATGGGCCATTGGAATAGGGAGGCCTGATTTAGACTGGGCATCAGTCACCTTTAAAATGAGACCGGAAGTTTGCGGAGTAGGCAGCGCATGGGGTGCTGGTAAAACAACATTTCAGATGGGGCGGTATATGCAAAGGCCCTGAGGCTTGGAGGAGCTCAGAGTATGGGAGGAACCCAGAGGAAGGGAGGCAGGGGACTAGTGGGGCTGGAACATTAGATAGAAGCCAGACCACCTACCCCCTGGTGAGGTGAGTCTTTGTCACAGGAGTGTTGGGAAGGTATTGGAGGGGAAGAGTATTGATTCAGTTCATTGATTCAGAAGGGTGGTGTTTTGTTTTTTTGTTTTTGTTTGTTTTTTTTTTTTAGTTTATTTATTTTGAGAGAGAGAGAGAGCAAGGAGGGGCAGAGAGAGAGGGAGAGAGAGAGAGAATCCCAAGCAGTCTCTGCTCTGTTGACACAAACAGATCCCACAAACAGGGAAATCATGACCTGAGCCAAAATCAAAGTTGGATGCTTAACTAAGGGA